GCCCCAGGCAGGGCGGACCAGGCCTCATCTGGACACTCACAGTCAGCAGTAAGTGGCAGTTGCATTTTGTGCCGAAGTTGTTCTGCGACATGCTTGTGTGCTGGATCAGCAGCAGCGACTTCAGTATTCCGCCTGAAATGCTGGGCTCACATACCAGCATGTTCCACATGGCCTCAGCAGTGGCGTGATGCCAGAGCTCAGAGTCAGTGGGGCCATCCTGGCCATAACAAGTTTTGTCTGGGCAGTTCTCAGAGGCCCTAGGATTCCCCTGAAGCTGAAGGGCCACGTCTATGTCACCAGTGATGGAAATACGCAGCAGGCTAGTGGTCACATCCCAAGAGTGCAGCTGCGCCATTTGGAGAAGGGTCTGCATCAGGATGTCCCGCAGCGACCTTCTGGTGACAAGCATCAGCTGCCTATAGATGATCTGCACGAGGTCGTCCACCTGGCGGAGGCAGGAGTGTGGAGCTGGGTGGAGTGCAGCCACGGCCCCTGCTGCCACCAAGAACTGCTCCTCTCCTGTCACTCCTTGCCAGCCTCAAAGGTCACCAGACATGTGCCCTGAGGGCACACGCACGGGGCAGCCCAGCTGCACACTGCTTACCTTGGTCAGCTTCAAGCACGAGTGTGCCAAGACTACCTTCAGCGTGTTGGCAATCACCTGGATGTTAGAGACTCTTTCTTGTGCCATGTTCCTCAAGACTATGAGGACTAAGTTGTACCTCTCATGTGGGAGTAAGAAGCTCCCAGTTGCCTAAGGGAGAAGGAGAAGGAAGAGTTTCACCCTGAGGGCCCTGGTGGCAGAGCAGAGCTAAGCAGCCAGGTTGGCTCTGGGCTGGCATAGCCGGGGCAGTGCTGGCCCACCCCCAGGACAAGTGCCAGCACTGGGGGCTGCTCTGGGGTGACTGCAGCCACAGGAGCATGTGTGAGAGGCTGAACTGAAATCAGGCTCCACCGTTCATTGCCTCAAAGACTGGTGTGAAAGACTGGTGTGAGGAACTCCAAAGCCCCGCAAGCCAGCCTGGAGAAGCCTCTCTCCCCCAGTCCCCAGCGCATGGGGCTAGCAGCTTTCCCCCTGCCCTCCATGGCAGCCCTGTGCTGCCTGCCTGCAGCGCACAAGGGTCCCATTTCCCGCCGCCCAGACTCCAGGGGTGCCCCACTGGCCTTTGGTGGCAGGGTGGCACTGCAGCACCCTGGCCAGGCAGCACGCTGCCCTCTGCTCCCTCCAAACCCTGGCACCAGCTAGCTGCTGGCTGGGCATTGCGGGTGTCCTGGCAGGAGAGGCCAGTCCTGGGTGCGGGGGGGGGAGGGTCTGTGTCAACTCCGTCCCTGTGTGCTCGCTCTAGCTGAAGAAAAGAACCAGATTGGAGCAGTACCTGCACCAGAGCCTGCTGTACCTGCAGAGCCCGCAGGAGCCCTTGCGCGAGGTGGCTGTCAGGTTCATTGGTGAGCCACAACCTGTCCGGGGGTCCCTCACTGTACCTCAGCAGCTTAGCCCCAGCCATGGCTACTGCCAAATCCACCGGGGAGCTGCAGAGCCCCAACTGCCCGATGTGATTGATGTGGGGCTGGGTCCCTCAAGGCCACTTCACGCTCCAGGAGCTACCCTGGGCTCAGCCTTGCCCAGCGGGTCAGTGGGGGTGAACTGGGCTGCTGGGATGGTCAGGTCAGCGGGATGTGTGACGGGCTGTGTGTGCCTAGGGCTCGCTGGGCAGCAGCTGAAGGACGGGTGCGAGGAGGAGGTCCTGGTCATTAATGAGGGTGAGTGAGGGCAGTGGGGTGCCTGTGGGTAGGAGGAAAGGGCCTGGGTAGGGAGCTATAATCCCTGTCCTGGCCTAGGAGGGCTCAGCTCCCTCTGTGGGTGACGGATGGCGTGGGCAGAGTAGAGAGATTTGAGGAGCATGTGGGACATTGGTGGGCAACACCTTCCATCTAATCCCGGTACCCCGCCTCCCTCCTGGCTGTGGGAATTGCTGTGGGGTGGGAGTGGCCCTGGCTGGAGGGACTCTGCAGATCCCCTGCAGATCTGCGATGTGACCGTGGCTCTGTTCCTTTCCATCCCAGCCCTTCAGAACATGGAGAGTGACAGCAGCCCCCGTGTCTCCTCCCTGGCGCTTGAAATGAAGCAGCTGCTGTATGATGCATGGGAAGAGCCTTCTGCCAGTTCCTTCCTGCCGGCACTGTGGCACTGCCTCCGGAGGGCAGAGAGGAGGAGGATCCCTAACCAGCTGGTCTGATCCAGGGCACTGGACTGAGCGAGCTTCCTATGAGATTCTTCCTCCAAGTGCAAGGAAACAGCAATAGATAGTTTTCTGTTGACATTTTTAATTATGTCAACATAATTTTTGAAAGAAAATTTTTATTAAATTTTCTATTGAAATCTCTTTTCTATCCAATTAAGATATATTGCTTTTTTGTTACACTGTGCACCTGCAATCGGTAGCCACAGTTCATAGTTCTTGTATCTTGGGCCTGGGACAAAGCGCCCCTCTTAAAAAGAAACAACCGATCTTTGTTGTGTTCGAAGGATCCAAGCAGAATGTCCAGGATTGGTGGCACCAAAGGCGGAGTTATTTGACAGCTTGGCCAGGTCACCAGATCCTTTCCAACGCTAACTATTCTATGATTCTGTGAGTCTATGATTTACTAAATAACGACTGAAAAAACATGCAGGAAATTAAGCAACAGTTTTCCTAACTGGCATCTGTGATCATCAGGACACTCCTGTTCATCAGGAGCTGTTAACGGTCAGATGCTGAATAGAAGATGACACCTCATCTAGAAGAGGCACCTCCAGGCCAGTAAAATACATTTTGGCTTGCCCAAAAGGAGTGGCCCCATTCTCTCTTCCCAAAACGTAGGTTTTCCTGTTCTGCCACTGGGGAGAAAATGGAACCTTATCCCCAGAAATGTAAATCTTTCTTTTTATTTGGGAAAGACGTAGTCTGTCTGGGAAGATTGCAAAGCAGAGACAATTTACAGAAATAATATGTTCCACCAGCGTCTGCATGCAGGCGCGGAGCCATCTTGGGCGTGGCCTCAGGCCCGGCGGCCATTTTGTGTGTGGTGGCAAGCCCCGGGGCCATCTTGTGCGTCGCGGCGCCCGGCAGCGCGGCTCCTACTCCATTCCCTGGCGGCGTTTGGATTTCCTTGCCTAGAGGGGCTACTGCTAAGCGTGTGGGTAGAGCCGAGAACAGCTCTTTATCTGATGTCTTCTGAAAAAGCATTTTTTTCTGCTCGATACTATGTGCCTCAGCTAGGCTGGGCGTGGTTATGCCTGAGGAAGGAGCTTCCTCTCAAAGAGTGGGAGAACAACGTGCTCCAGCTGGGAGTGAAGCAGAGACATAGATCTGACTTGGAATGTTGCTTTGGCTGTTTTGTTTTCTCCTTTATTCCAGCTTATAGCTGGAAAGTTTTAGGTTTTGTTTTTTTTTGTGGCCCCACTCTGTTGTGCAAAGTGTTCTGTTTTCATGACCAAAGGCAAAAGGGATGCCAGTACTTGAAAACAACTAGTGTGTAGACACAAGGTGTAGGGGGAAGACACAAGGTGTAGGGGGTGATGCATGCTACTGGACCTGTCGTGTGGCTCTGCTGTAGTTGCAGAGTTGAAGCATTGGTTTAGGGTGTGAAAGGGCTGAGTCCATTTCCCCTTCAAGGGGTTCAGCGGTTGCATTTTTAGAGACCCTGGCATCTCTGAGAAAAGCCAGTTCTTAGTGCACAAGCATTTTCCTTGACAGCTTGTGAAAACTGCCTCCAACGCCTTGTATGTACCTTTTTGTAGGAGTTGGCCTACTCACAGGATCATGTGGTATACTGGGTGGGAATTGACTTCTAGAGGCTTCTGCTTGAACCTCGTGCTCAAAGCAGCATCAGACCAAGCTTCTTGGGGCTTTGTCCAGTCACATCTTCCTGGCATGAGACAGCGCCGTCTCTCTGGGCAACCTGTTCATCTCTTTGCTGTCCTTATGAGGAGAAAGGCTTTTCCTTATTTCCAGTCTGAATGTCTCCCAATGCCTCTTGTCTGTCATTATCCCACCATGCACTGCTGTGAAGAAACTAGCTCTGTCTTCATGTGCTCCTGTAGGTAGTAGAAGGCTGCTGTGAGGTCTGCACTAAAGCTTTCTCCTCTACAGGCTGAATGAATGTCTTTCCCTCAGCCTCCTCTGAGGACTTGGATGATCCTAAGTTCCTTTCCAACCTGAACCGTTCAGTGAAATTCTAGCTGTTAATGAAAAGAAGAAATAAGGTGGAAGAAAATGTGGTTTCTTGGTTACTTGAGTTCAGAGCCACACCCAGGCAGGGCAACAATGCTGCTGGGCCCTGCAGCACATAGGTCACAATGCGGGCCAAGATACATTCCCTCCTGGCCTGGGTGGTGGGTAACAGTGGGACCCTCGTGGCAAGTAGCGTGCCCAGCCCCACAGTATCCAGGATTCTGAGGAGAGAAGAGCCAAGCAGCTCGTGCAGGAGCCCCTGCTGGGGCAGCTGATGGTGACCATCAGCAGTCAGAAAGACCCAGGCAATGCCCACGGAGGAATCTCAGAGTGTCACCATCCGTTACATGAGTAGGTATCAACGGAACCCCAGGGGACGACCTTGGGGCACAGAACGGGGCAGGGAGAAGCAGCTGCATGGGCAGGAGGCAGCGGTGCTGCAGGGCTGGCACCTTTCTCGCCCTGCTCCTGGCAGCGTCCTGAAGGAGATGAGAAGGGCATCAGCACCCTGGCCCAGGGTGTGCTGTGGGCACAGCAGCCGGTGCCGGGCTGGAGAGAGGACCCCTCTCTTCCCTCTGCCTCCTACCCCGGCCTGCAGCTCTCCCCATTCTTGCTCTTCATCAGGTGTAGCTGCTGCCGACTCTAGCATCCAGTTGCAGAATGAGGAAAAGGAAGCCCACGGCTACATCATGGACTTTGTCAAAAGCACCAGAAGGGTAATGGCAGAATTTGTCAGCAAAGCTCTGCCAGCAGCTCCCAGTTGGGTGCTGCCACGTATGCTGTCCACACACAGGCTCCTGGAGGGCTGCTGGCAGTGCAGAGCTGTTCCCCTCCTGCCCCCCCCCCCCCCCCCCGCACCATTGCTGCAGCCCTTCAAGCCTCCACTCCTGCTGGCTGTGCCTGTGCTCCCTGCCCCCCCCCCCCCCCTTCTTTGTCTCTCTTCTCCTGGACTGACAGGATCGGGAGTCGAAGATGAAGTTTCTGGCCTCCATCGACATGCTCTGCAGAGCCTCACTGCGGGGAAGGTACCAAAGCCCAACATCCCATGAGCTGCTGAATAAACTGGAGGTGAGGGCCCCCCCCAGTGGGGCTAAGGGAAGTGAGCACAGATGGCCAAGCACCGGACTGGTGATAAGGACAGCACTCAGGCGTCTGGGCACAGCGGGAGGGTAGGACAGGCCTTGTGGGAACAGCCCTTTCTGCCACTGGGGCCACTGCAGAGCAAGGGGCTGCTGTGGGTGCTGGAGCTGACCTGCGGACTCTGCCCACTCTGCAGACTGGCAGACTGGTGGCAGGCACCGGCAGCTGCTGTGGTCCATCCCAGCCATGCTTTTCCTCTCCAGGCACTAATGCAAAACGAGGCCTTTGACAGCATGGACACCATGATGTGGCAGCAAGCCCTGCTTGCCGTCGCTGCACTGAGGTACCTGTCCCAGCGCCTGGCCAGGCCAGAGCCTCCCATGGGCCTGGTAGCACCAGGCATTTCCTATCCTGGTGGCGTGGTCTTTGGGCCTCTGCTCTCCCACCTCTCAGCCCGTCAGTGGCTCAGGCAGGATGGCGGTGGGTGCTCCAGGGCTCCCCGACGCTTCTTGGCTTTTCCTCTGAAGGAAGAGGCAGGAGATGGAAAGGGCTTCAGGGTCCACTGGCCAGGGCTGCCCTCTGTCCCTGACTCAGCAGAATGGGGGAGGGAGGAGATGCCTTGCCTACCTTGTGCAGGTTCAACCCTGGGGACTGCTAGTCATAGTGTTTGTGGGCACCTTCCCCAGTGTAGAAGCCTTTGCATCCAGCTGGCACCTTCTCTCCTTACAGCGAATACAGGGAAAACCTGCTGGACAACCGCCTCTACAAACACATAGGTGGCACCTTCAGTTTTGTTGCAAGTGAGACGATTAGCCAGCGTACTCCATTCTATGATCAGGTAAATGTGGGCTGAGCTGCAGAGAGCCTGACAGCCTGTCCTTCTTCATGGTTTCCTCATTGACTTTGGCTGCTGGAAGCCGACAGGAGAAGGAAGGCCAGGGAGACCCTGAGGCCTCCCCCCTGGGCACCAGAGGGCAGCTGAGGCCCACCTCAGGTGGAAGGCAGGCAAGCAAGCTTTCTGCAAGGAAGAAGGGCCAGGGCAAGGTCAAGCACGTAACCTGCTGCATCTGTGTGTATCTGTGTTTGTCTGTGTCTCTCCTTACAGATCCTGAAAACTCTGGACAGTGTGCTGGAGGTGCTGATACGTGGTGCTTCACAGAGATCCTGCATCTTCATAACAGGGAAAATATTGAAGGTCAGGCGTTTACCAAGAGCAGAGCTCATGGGGTGTCTTCCTTGCCTTACCCTAAAGTGATGAGACCTTCTAAAGCATGCGCACCCCAGCCCCCAGGCCGAGGGGTGAAAGGAGTTTCTGGCACTGCTGAGCCACTGCCCTCACTTGTCTGCCCCGTTCACTTTCTCCTCCCCATTTGCCAGCAGGGTGGGGATGCCCTAGGATACGGCCGTGGTACAAGGTGCATAGTGCAGTGGGAGTCCAGCCCTGAAGGTCTTCTCTTCTGGCCTCCTCATGGGCCTGGCCTCCCTTGTGCAGCCCCTGCCAGAGGTTCTGGTCCTCTTGGAGCGGGAGCCTTTTTGGAGCTGCATGTGGAAGGGGGCAGAGGTGCCTTGGGGATGGGATCGGGCAACTTCCTTGACTGCAGCAGGTCACCAACAGCCGGCAGTGGTCCCCAGATCACAGCATGGATGGACCCCATTCCAGGTCTTACTCTGGACCATGGGAAGCCTTGGCAGTACATCGCATAAACAGCACGAGATGCTTGGCAGAACCACTGCTCTGGGAGCCACTGTTGTTTCCCACAGCAGACTTGCAGCTTCTCCCTTCTCAGGCTCTGCTGCCCATCACGGCATCCGAGGACATGGCTAAGCGCCGGAAGGCTGTAGAGTGGATTGTACGCCTCACCTACTTTTTATCGCCCTCTTCAATGCTGGAGGTAAGGAGCCTGTGATGAAGGTGACTTGCCCCTTGCTGGTGCCACAGAGTAGCCGAACACTCCGGGCCCCCTGCAAGGGAAGCCTGGGCGCAGGGCAGTAGGGGATTCAGCAAGACTCAACCTTGCACCAGCATCTTTGGTCCTCTCTCTGGGAGCTGCACTCTGTCTTGTGCCTTCTCTCTCAGGAGCCAGTGCTGTCCCTGGGCGTGAGAGCATTTGGCAGATGCAGCTCTGGCAGCCCTCCCTCCCCTGGAGATGGGGAGTCCTGCAGGTGGTGAAGGAGGGCTCTGTCAGCTGACTGTGGGTCTGGAGGAGCAGCAGATCCAGGGTGTCAGTCTTCTTTCAGACACCTACCCCAGTCCCAGGGGCTCACAGGGCGAGAAGGCAGAACCCTTCCACAGTTCCCTTTGCAGGGAGACAGCACAGTCCTTGCCCTGGCTTGGCCGCCATGAACTGGGTCTCCACGCGGTGCAGCACAGGGCAGAGCTCTCCAGAGCTGCTGCTCACGTGGCACTCGGCCTGGGGGCTGCTCTTAGAGGTTAAGGCTTTCAGCCCATCTGCCACAGCTTGGCCCTGCTACTGCAGCTTCTTCTCTCCCACAGCATTTGAATGCAAGACACGGCATGCAGTGCTTCTCCAGAAGCAAGCCTCTGGAATTCCTAGGGCAGGCAATGGGGTACCTTGCCCTGTCCTGTGCTGAGGAGGACCAGGAGATCAGCTGCGGGGCTTTCCAGGCACTGTGCAACTTCAGGAGGTTCCTTCTGCTGCGACAGAGTAAGAGACACTGAGGCAGGCTGGAGCTTTCCAGCCAGGCAAGGTGCCGCACTGCCCTAGCCCCCTCCTCTGCTAGAGGAAGGAGCAGCAAATGCCTCTGAGGCTGGAGCAGGGCAGCAGCTGTGCAAACCGTAGGGCACACACAGCCTGCTGCGGAACAGCAGCTTGGGGCCTGTCCCGAGAACCCTTGAGCCGGAGAGCCGGTGGCTGCAGCATGCCTAGGCTTCTGTTCTCCCCCTGAGCAGAAAGCCAGACTTAACTCTCCTGCCCTTCCACAGCCTAAGAGGTAGTTTCCTCTCCTCCCCTGGTAAACGGGCCCGCTACCGCCCTGGCACGTCTCCAGCTCCCATGGAACGGAAAGCCAAGCACAGCTCTCCTTGATACCCTCACCTGCTGCCTCCAGCTCTCTGTTGTAAATACACAAAAGGTACCTCTCAGTGACAGTAATCGGTTGTAATCTCTATATAATTGTAATATTTGCTGTGTCATTCCTTCTAATCACTGTACGTGCTCTGTGGAACCGTCTACACCCTGGCCGGGGTCTTTCTGAGGTGTGGATCTGATTTTTAGTATTATAATGAAGGCAGTTCACTTTCCGACACCTTGAAAGTTAGTTTTTTTCCCCAGGTTATGTAATCAAATGGTGACTTGGCCGAGCTGTCAAACAAGTTATCCTTGGTACAGTCAATCCTGGATGTTCTCCTTTGATTTTTTCAAATGGGACCAGGACCTGGTTTTCTCTTACAAATTCCTTATTGTCTCATGTTCAAGATCCTATACATACACTAAGGATGACTACCAACAGCAGGTGTGCAATGTATTATGTTGACAAAACCATATTTTTGCATAGTGTGTTTTGGTTTGTAAATAAATCCTCTCTGGAGGTCTCCATTTCACTCCTACTGGTGCCACTGGACGAACCGGTGAAGTGTTCAGACATTGCCACAGCACACAGTGCACTGCCTCTGGAGTCACAAACAGATTCTTCCAAATGAGTTACTGTGATGGTAAATTCCCCCTCCCTCTCACCACCCTTCCCCCCCCCCCCCCCCCCCCCCCGGACCTTTATTTCTTGTAATTCTGCACAAGTAATAACCATCAGCAGTGCTGGTAATGGATGCGTCTGGTCTGGTCGTGATAGCTGCAACTCAGTTCTGGGGAGATGGATAACACCACAAGGCTAATCTCAACAATGTGCTCCCACATCCCCCACCCCCTGTAGTTCTGGTCAAGGTCCAAGTTTCTGTAGTCGGTATGCAAACATGACTATGAGTCAATTTTCTCACTCCATAGCTGGTGGGCAGCACAGAGCCCATGGAGCTATCCTGCATGACAGCAGGCTGCACTTCAGGATCTCCCCTTGAGCAGAGATGCCTCTCAAGGTTACTCCTCAAGGTTGAGAGATTCCTTGCTGCAAGAGATCCTCAGTAAGTGATTAACAGCATGCTAAACTCAACTCTTAGCTAAGGGACGGAAAGGATTGTCTGTACACATACAACCCTTTAGACATAAACCGTTGACCAAGTGTGAAGTCTTGATCCCGCTACACCTAGACTCCTCTCTGAGAAGGAGTTTAGAATGCAAGGAGGCCCCCTTTCTGAACCTTATGACTCAAGGAGAGGGTCTCCCTGACAATCTGACCCTGTCCTCTATGCAGCAAATACTCAAGTGTACCTTGCCATTGAATCTTGTTAAACCACTGCCACATTTACTGACATTTTTTTTTACAAAATTTACATCAATAGACATATTTCTGCTGCTCTTACAAGTGAAGGGTGTCACTCCATATTCAACAACGACTTTACCACATTCACCTGGATGAGCAGAGGAGGACAGAGGAAAGGGAAAAGGACAACCCTTGCAGCCACCGTGCCACAAGATTAGTGTGGATATGGCATACTGAAGAACATACACTCCTGACATAAATCCTCATGTGGTCAGGGAGGGAGATAAGATGTCAGCTCTAATGATAACTCAGCTCAATAAAATAAACTTTCAAGCAATTATTTAACAAATAAAACTACTGGCATAATCTGACAGCATAATGACGGTTGGAGCAGGCATGCATCACGGTAAAGGAAAATCCCACCAGTACCGTTTCCTTACATAAGCGGATACCTCATACAGCACTGGTGATTTGTACCAAAGAAAAGCACTCTAATCCCTGGCCTCCGAGGTTACCGTAAAGCTCCCATTAAGATCAGATGGGTGTGCACTCTGGCTCTCTCCAGCCCTCTTGTTAAAGCTTCCATTAGGTAATGAAGGCTTTTACCTCCCAGGGCAATGATGAGGAAGAAGCCACAGAGTGCATAGACCCTTTGTTTTCCCAG